ATTCCTGCATTTTAATCCTTTGTAGAAAGGTGGTAATATATGAGCAATATGAAAAGAACTGGATTCAGATCATTAGAGGTTCACAAACCAAACACACGAAGCTTTGGAGGCTGTCCAAAACAAAATCATGCCTAGGTGGTGATGTCCGTTCAATAAAAATTCAATGTCATAATTATCCTCTCACTTTTTCCCCAAAGAGCATTAGTGCTCAGAACTGGGCTGCTGCTCAGCCAATTATATTAATGCTGTGCGAAGACGGAGAGGGCCGGCAGCCAATCGCTGTGCCAGGTCACTGCCTGCTGACGGGTAATCTACAATTATCAAGCAATTAGCAAATGAAGTGAAAATTCAACACTCATCTCCACATAACACAGAATAACTCATTTTAAAATTAAAAATATGTTTTAATAACTTCATTTTGGCTACAGGCACACAGAGAAAAATAAAGCTCCTTTTCCCAATTTCTCCTCCTTTTACAACTGACAAAACGCTTTGCTGTCTGAAGCTAGTGACCAAACATCGTTTGATGTTTCTGAACTAATGGACCTCTTCCTTGCAAGTTAAGTATCTACTTAACAACAGAAAAGAATAAAAAAAAGAAAGCTGTTGATAAAGGTACTATTCACCCAACTAGTATACTTGAAATTATTATTTAATTAACCACCTGATGAACAGCCTGTCCTGGTGGCTGGGTGAATTAACTAGAATTAACCAGGCACCTATATGCCAGGAGTCCAAAATTTTCTTTTCTTCTCTAGATTTAACAATAAATGACATAATGAGAAGGTGATCTGCAATTACTCAGTTGCACAAAACAAATGTTCTTTCCTATTAATGATCAAGATAATAGGTTGTTGTGCTGACAACAAAGTATAGAGCTCCCATTGCATACACTCACAATTCTAATCCCAATGTTAAAAACATTTAGCAAAACAAATTCTGGATAACCGTGGTTTATCCCCCCCTCTAGAAAACTACTGCATCTTCCTTAGTATATGGTATGAACACTGGAATTGACCTTCTTTAAAAGGGTAGGAAAAAGGCAGAAGAGGTCACTATCAACAGTGAAATCCAAGTAGATAAAAGGAGATTCTTACATTTCTGTGTCCTCTGATATTTAAACAAGCAAACAAACAAAAAGTCCTGACTTTAGAGTTGGTAAAGGGTAAAAAATAGGAAAAGCTACAGGCTCCTACCAAAAGGAAGAGAGGAAAAAAAAATCCACAACAACGAACAGCTGATGTAAACACACAACACTTTTGTATGCACTGGACAACACTACGCTTGCTGCAGTGATGTCAGCTCTAGGATTTCATCTCACATTTAAACGTATCTAAACCAGAGAGAATGTTAAAAAAAATATACAAGGCTAAATGATGTCAACTGGAAAAAAAAACCCCAACTGATGGCATTTGACATATTTCTCTTTCCAAAAAGATACCAGCAAGAAAGTAAACTTTTGCCTGACTGTATGGGGTTTCAGAAAACATTCACACTGTCAACATAATTTATTTGCTTTTACAACAGTCCTTCACCCTCCTCCTGCATGAGGAATACTTATTTCTGAATTTCTTTTTAACTTGCACCCTCTCTACTACCAGAGTGTCAGAAGGGAAGAGGAGAGGAGGGAAACCAAAGCAACACAGAAAAATCCTCCACAAACCTGTTGCTGTGGATACTGCATTCCTCCCATGGCTGCCGGGGCTCGGCCCTGCATTCCCACGGGATAGCGCTGGGGGCCGGGAGGGCCGTAGGACTGCCCGGGGTAGGGGCTGCTCTGCTGCGTCTGAGAGTGAGGGTTATTGCCCATGCCGTACAACTGAGGTCTCTTCATGACCATTGGATCCATCGGACTGCCCTGTGGTTAAACACAAGCAAAGAAATACTTTAAGATATGGAAAGAAAAAGGCCAGAATAGTCATGCTTACCGTCGGCAAACTATACACGTTTTCTTAATGCTTTATACATCAAGTATTGACTTGACATACAAACAGGCAAAGCACCATACTCTGGTTCTCATATTAATTAGGTGAGTTTTTGACTGGTGAGTTTGGGACTTGCACTGCATTTAAAAAAAATAGTAATAATGATTTTGCACTCAAATTTAAGGTCGCCTCTTACCCACAGAAAAAGCAGGAAAACTGCCCAATGAGTTTCAGCTGAAGAAATAATTAAGTATACAATTGTAAACTGATTAGCATCACTGACTTCAATGTTTAAACATAAATAAAACCATGTCTATCAAGAGAGACACAAGTAGTGGACAAGCCGTTTAACCTTGAGAAAACATCTGTTTTCTTACCTTGAAAAAAGGGAAAGTGGAAAGCAAATAAAGTTTCCAAGAAGTGCAGCGCACACAAAACACTGTATTTCAGCATTTTCATATTGCTATCATGTGCATTAATAAGTTTCCAGATCAAAAGGCAAGTCATAACCCACATTTTACATGAAAGTTTCTATGCCTCCTTAACAGACCTTAGAAAATCCAAACTGCAATCACTGATGGAGGGGGAGGGGAGGCAAGAGAGAGAAGTTTTATTTATAGACTTTTTGGCAGCACTTACCAAGCACCGTAACAGTTTCAGGACGGGTGTCAACCATTGTGTGGTATTACTCTCATGTTTTATTACTGAGGACTAACTGAACCAGAAAGAATATCATATTTTGTCAAGCGCAGCACTGTATTGTTAATATGACATCCATTTTTTAATTCCTGAGTGCTGGCTATATTCATGGAAGAAGGGGGGGGGGGGGGGGGGGGTGGAGGTGTTAACAACACGCA